CCCTCCAGGCAAACCGCCAAGCCCACGAAACCCCAGACCATGGCCTGACGGAACCCCAAATGCCACCAAAAACCGGGACCAACACTCTACCCCCCCAGAGCCACCTAGACCCCCAAAACCCGACCCCAGCCCCATAGCCGGCCTACCACCCAGCGAGGCCACCGTTCCCCGGCAAGGACGATCCGGCCAAGAACGCCCACCCGACCACCGACAGAGCAAGGAGGCACCCAGGGCGGGCCCCCGCCACAGCAAAGGGGCCAACCAGCCGGCCCAGCACGGCACCCAGCCACCACCAAAGGCCACCAACCCAATCCCCACCCCAGAAAAAATACTACACCCACCCCAACATTCGGGCCACTATTAGAACATATAACACAAAGACACCCAGGCTGGGTCGACCCCCCCCACTAGCCCCATGTCACAGCCCCAGCCAACCCTACCCCCCAGCCCATGAGAACCGCAGACCACCAGCGCACCAGAGGCCCCCAGCCCAGTGCCAGGCACCAGGGCACATACCGGCCCAGGGCCCGGCAATCCGCCCACCAAAGCCCAAGCCCCCTCGCCCCACCAGAGCGACAGCCCAGGGGCGGCACGCCCCCAGAGTCCCAAGCCCCCGCGCCCACCCCGGACCCGCCCCAGCATGGCCAGGCAACCGGACCAGCGACCCATGACCGCAGAAATTTAATTGGCCACAATACCGTCATTGGCACTTTCAAAAAAGGAGGGTTGAAACTGATCGACATACAATCTAAAAAGCAAGCCACCCGCATAAGACAAATTACTAGCTTTTTGACATCGCCCATAAGGCATGTGTGGTATGAATATTTTCAAAAGTCACTAATCTCATTTGGCACAAAAAGCATTTTTAATTTATGTTCTGTATCAACACCAACACAAACAGCATCAGTTAGTCTCTTTCATTCAGAGCTTCTTGATGCCTGGAACAAGGTTAGACRTTTTGTAAAAACAAAGGTTAAATACAAGGCTTATCTCTCGTTACCAATCTTCAATAACCCAGAAGTGGTCTGCGAAGGCAGGATGCWGKATCTTCCATCCTGGAGAAGTGCTGGCATTCACACCTTTGGGCAGATACTGAATGACAGAGGGACAGTGGATGTACTTAAGGTACTTATTCACCTCAGATCTGCTCAGTTCCCTTTCAGACAGAATAAGGTGCTCCAAAACTGCAAAACAATTCAGGCCGCTTTGCCTTTTCRCTGGTCCTCGGTCATTGATAGAAGGGGACAACATCAGGTGGTGCAGGATGATACCTTGAACTTCTACATCCCAGCAGGTAGCAAGAATAYAGAAATTAAGTCTGTTAAAACAAAAACATGGTATGCATATCTGATCTCACAAATCATGCAAGAACCTACAGCTCACAAATCTTGGACWACAATATTTCCAAATAAACAAGTGTATCATATTTGGTCAAATCTATATATGAAACTAACCCACCAACAGGCAAATAACACGGACTTTATATTGAGATATGGAAGGATATTCACAAGCATCATCCTGCACCAAATCAACAAAGAAAAGTATGGCAGAGATTGTACAGTTTGTCTTTCAGACCCTGAAAACATAGAACATCTGTTCCTCCACTGTCCTAGCTGTGATCCTTTTTGGAAGACTATTGAGGAGATMGTTGGAAGCATCTTTGTAGATGCCAAGAGAAACAAGCAAGAATGGGACTGGATAAGGCTTTTTGGTCTTGTGAGATCACAAGGACAGCTGAATGATAGACAATATTTCCTATGCAACATCATCCTCTCAAATGCCAGACATTCAGTATACATCTGGAGAAACCATCAACTCTATGAGAACAAAACTCCGGATCGTTGGAAGCTGTTCATGGGACTTCTACAAGATCACTACAAAATACTTCAAAGTATCACCAAACAACTTTGTCAGGACACCTACCAGTGTCTAAAAACTGCGAACACTTCAAGGAATGGAGAATATGATGCACATACTTAATCGACAGAGCCTCATTTATGTTAAAGCTGAAGTGGATGACTTGCTAACTGAGTGATCCTTGATGTACTCAAGATGACGGCTTATCTTATTTGGTTGTTGTTGTTGTCTTAAATGTATCCCTCTCACAATATGGTGTGATTTTTTGTGCTTTTTGTTGTTTTTTGTAAAAAATTGTTTTTAAGATGTATTTTCATAATAAAAGATTAAAAAAAGTCTATGCCCGATCTCGTCTGATCTTGGAAGTCAAGCAGGGTCGGGCCTGGTTAGTACTGTACTTGGATGGGAGACTACCTGGGAATACCAGGTGCTGTAAGCTTTTGHGCTTCACTCAAAACACAACTGGGGCACTCTGTTGCACTGTCCTAACAAATCCCTTAAGGAACATGGACACAAAACAGGAACACAATTGCTTTCGTTCTTGTAGCTTACCTGGATTGGCCTTTGAGGAAACTCATGTCCATGGCTTACTCTCTTCAAGTGTACTTTTCACAGCTGATTGCAATGTGACTAATTAGCCACTGAAGCAAGTTGTGTTGTGTACTGAGTTTGATGAAGCTGTGAAGACACACTTTCAGAATAGAGTCCCTGTTTTCTCTTATTCTTTTAAAATCATCCCTACATGTGCAGAATGTTCCATAAGTGTCCAAATGCAAGATGTCATATTTTTGGCCTTTGCAAGAAGTTCAAGATGCTGTTTTTACGCTTAATACGACCTAGAAAATGGCGTCCAATTGACATTTTTTCTACTTTATACAACTTGTAGACACATGTACAGTATGAGATCATGCATTTTTTCTTTTAAAGTTCTGTTTGTGAGTTTCTCGTTTACGGCCATACTGCCGTGACCACGCCCACAACAGGTGTGTCTGGAAAAGTTTGGTTAGCTGTGAGCAGCCAGCAGGAGCATTTCCTCAAAAATCTTTTTTTCTCTATATTTTCTATTCTGGAGAAAGTGATTGTTGACTTTTTTGATCAGTTTTATAACATTTTTTCCCTCCACGCAGTGCTTAACTGTTGGGGGGGGTTCTTATTCTAATTATGGACAATTTAAAGAACAAATGGTTGGACCAACAGGCAATGGAAAGCATGAAAGGAAACAAAAACCAAGAGAAGGATGATGGACCAAGAGATGAAGAAGGGAAATATGAGAAGGCAAACACAGTACTGGTTGATATTGAAGGTGTGGACAAGATTTCATCACTGGACCTAATGAAGAACTTAAAGATGGTATGTGGTGGATTAATGGCATGCAGACTGATAAATGATAGAAGATATGAAGTGACAGTGAGCAACCAAACAGCAAAGAAGAGACTCATGGATGGTTTTAAAGTTGGTTCTACAAGAATCCTGGCAAGAGAGCTTGTGAAAGATGAACTCGTYGTTTCATTTCTGGGGCTCCCAGCATACATCACTGATGAAGAAATTCTGGAGAAGCTACATGGCTGGGGAGTTGCAGCAGTGTCAGAGATTCGACGAAGAGTGTGGCCGGGGAAAAAGATCGCAGATAGGACCAGGTTTGTGAAAGTCAAATTCACTAACACTGTGCAATCTCAATTCAGTTAAATTTAACACAGCTATGGGTCCAGAGTACTTTCGGGTAATACATGATAAGCAGGTATGGGTATGTAGAATATGTTTACAACCAGGTCACATTTTAAGAGACTGCCCTGATTTCTTGTGTCACTCGTGTGGAGAACAGGAACATTATGCAAGAGAGTGTGCAAAGAGGAAAATGAGCAAGAAGTACCAAACATGTTTTAATGAATTAGAGAGCTGTGTTTGTGTGGCTAGTGAGGATGAAAAATGTGTCTGGGGATGAGATGAATGGTTTGGGAGCAAGTAGTATCCAGGAAAGTGATATGGAAGAGGGCATAGAGTCAGAGGAAGAGGAAGAGGACAGTCATTGCTGTACCAAGGCACGCTCCAGAGTGAGTCTTGGGGATGGTAAGGAGGTTGCAGCAACAGCTGACCTTCCAGGCATGGCCCTGTAAAGACAGTCCCAGAGGCTGGCTCAGGTGGGGCACGGGAGGGAGAGAGGTGGGATGAGGGTGCTACCTCGTCACACCCTGGTACCACCGGCCTTATTCCCCCAGTGCCAATCGGATGACTCGCCACAGCACCTGCATTCTTCTCAGACCCCTCAGCCTGGACCCAGCCGACAGATTGATTCTCATTCAGAACCAGACATGAAACCTGAACTCACAGACATCATAAACAATAGAAAAAGATCAGTCACATTGGGTCCAAGAAAAAAAAAACAAAGTGTTGTAAAAGAAAATGGTTCTTCTTTCTTTAATCCTGTTAACACTACTCTCGCTTAATGCCCGTGGGTTATGCAGGAAGGAAAAGTTAAAAGCCATTTTACAGCAATCTAGGTTTGATATCCTGTGTCTGCAGGAGACAAAATGGGATGAGAAAAGAGCTCAGGAAGTAGAGAAAAAGTGGGAGGGAACCATTTTCTTTTCAGTATCAGACGATAAAGCAGCAGAGTAGCCATTCTTTTTAGAGAAGAGTTTGCGCATACAAGTAGACTGGTTCACAAAGATAAAGAGGAAGATTAATCATTGCTGACTTCACATTTAATAGTCAGACTTATAGAATTATAAATTTATATGCTGCAAATGATACTCAAAGGAAAATGTTTTTCTTAGATATTGGAAAATGGGTTACAAGCTGTTGTATAATCATGGGTGATTTTAATGTGGCTCTCACCAGGGCTGACATCTCGAGAAACTGTCTTTCCAGAGGACAGCAGCAGAAACACGTTATACAATCTAATTTACAACAATAGTTTAGTAGATCTCTGGAGAGTTTTTCATCCAAGTAAAAATCTGTTTACTAGAAAACAGGTAGTAATGGGTAAATTAAAGCAGTCTCGTATAGATCTGTCTCATGTCGTTTTCTACTATCCCTGAGGTGATGTCCTGCCGCATCCGAGACAACAGCTGGAGTGACCATACCTTTCTTGAAGTTGAGATGGGACGGGGTACCAGAAATGGAGGTTTTTGGTGTCTAAATGCCTCCCTTCTCCAGGATGAAGGGTACAGAGGTGAAATCTGCACCCTGCTCCAGAACCTCCGTGAGCAGGCTGAGCATGCTGATGACCTGTTGGAGTGGTGGGACCAAGCCAAATTACAAATCAAAATCTCTATAAAACATCTCCATAAAATTCAGTAAGAGAAAAAGAGAGAACAAACTAAATTAGAAACAAAACTGAGAAAGAGGTTAAATGATGAACTATACAACTTAGAAATAAATAAAAATGGAGACGTTACTGAATATACCATAATTAAAAAAAGCTAGAACAAATTGAAATACAAAAATGTAGAGGAGCTACAATCTGCGCTAAAGCTCAGCACCTGACAGAAGGAGAGAGGTCAACAGCTTTCTTTCTGATGCAGGAAAACAGAAAAACATTGAAATTAATCAACTTGTTAATGAAGAGGGTGAGAAAATAAATGACATCACAGGCATTTTAGAAACGATTCAGTCTTTTTATTCTAAGCTTTTCCAGAGCATTRACGTTTCACAGGATAGTGTAAATAAGGTTGATGGAGTGTTAAATACATCACTTACCAAAGCAGATAGTCTTATGTGTGATGCTCCAGTGACTGAGGTTGAAGTCCAGCAGGCCATTGATGGCCTTAATAAAAACAAAAGTCCAGGTAATGATGGCCTAACTAYGGATTTTTTCAAACATTTCAAATTTCAGATTAGTCCAATCCTGGTAAAACTGTTTAAAATCATGGAGCAAAAGGGGTGCACGCCCAAGACCTTTGCCCAGGGGGTGGTGACTCTAGTTTATAAAAAGAAGGGATGCTCGAGCGACTTAGAGAATTATAGACCAATCAGTCTCCTAAATACTGACTACAAAGTTTATGCTAAAATTTTAGCAAATAGGTTAAAATTGGTAGCAAATGACATCATTCGCATCTCACAGTCTTATGGTGTGCCACAGAGAAACATATCGGACACAATATTGTCCATTAAACATACTTTAAGAACCATGGAACAAACAGAAGGTATTTTTCTGAACTTTGACTTCAGTAAGGCATTTGACAGAGTAGAACATAATTTCCTTTGGGCTGTCCTAGGAAAATTTGGATTTGGAAAAACATTTATTCAAAGAATACGCTTATTGTAWGATAATGCAGAAAGTCAAGTTAAATGTAATGGCCACCTTACGGATCTTTTCCATCTTCGGCGCTCAATTCGACAGGGCTGTCCGCTGTCRTCTTTGCTCTACAGCCTGGTTGCGGAGCCGCTGGGTCTCCTCATTATGGAGGATGACAATGTAGAAGGTATCAAGACTCCTAGAGGTAACGTAAATAAAATATTTCAGTTCGCAGATGACACAATAACAGTGGCAAATGAAAGAAGCATTGAAACAGTCTTAAAACACCTACAGACATATGGAGAAGTCTCAGGAGCCAAAATCAACCACAAAAATCAACAATCATGTACTGTGGTAAGGCTAAGCGGACACCGGGAAGATGGGGCTTCATAGAGGCTAAGGGCATGGTAAAGGTCTTGGGGGTGCACCTGGGTAAGAGGGAAGCGGAAATGAGAGATGAWACCTGGAGATTACTAGTGAGTAAAATTCAAAGATAACTAAATCTATGGAAACAAAGAAGTCTAACAATTAAAGGGAAAATAGTCATTGTACACAGTCTAATTATATCGAAGTTAATATATCCTCTCACAGTATTCGAGCTTCCTAACAGTACCTTTAATGCGCTGATGAAAGAAATTTCATGCTTCATCTGGAAAAACAAAAGACACTTAATTGCACATAAAACCTTGATTGCTCCACCAAAACACAGGGGACTCAAGCTTGTTGACATCCAATCCAAAAAGCAAGCCATCAGAGTTCGTCTCATTGCTCAGTTTCTGTCATCACCCGGTAAATATACATGGCACCATTACTTTATAAAGATTTTGTAGATTCGTATGGCACAAAATCTACTTTTAACCTTTGTTCCACATTTACTCCAGCCCCAGAAGCATCTAGAGTTTTTTTTTGTAGAAGTTCTCCAAGCATGGGGGAAAATCAGGCCCATCTTATCTACCGAGGTGAGACATGCGTCTTGTCTCTCGCAACCTCTCTTCAATAATCCCGAGGTCATCTGTGAAGGCAGGGTGTTAGATCTACCTTCCTGGAGATGGGTGGGTATTCACTCCTTTAGACAGTTTGTGAATGAACGCGGTTCACCCAGGGCCGGATTAACACTTCGCTGTACCCTGGGCAACAATATTCAAGGGCCCCATCGTCACGACCCCAGGATTACCAGTCTGGCAAAATACAGAGTAAATTATTGCAATATATAGTAAATATACTGAATACTTCAATTTCTAAGTGTATTTTGATGTACAAATGCTCATAGAACTACAAATACACTATGTCCTCTTGTCAAGGACACTCCTTCACATAATGCTATAAAAACAAGATACATCAGTATAATCTGGTAAACAGGACCCACTACAGTGAGATCGAGGGAAGTGTCCTACAATTTCACAAAAGCAACACTTGACATTACACAACCCTCTCAGTCACCTGACCCGCCTCATGCTGACTGACCAATGAGGAGAAGATCTCAACTCATGTTCACAGTGACAGGCAGCCTCTCTGTGCAGCACAAGAGCTCCAACAGACAGATTGACAAAAGCAGGAGAAAACCAGACATTTTGCTGGTGCCTTCACTCAAGGGTGTMACCATCATCTCAGAAGAGAGGGGACACATTTTTTAGAGGTCTATTGAGTGATTTATCATCCTTTCTTATTAAATCACACACCTCTCCTTAGTGGCTAAACACCATTACTGTAAGCAAACATAGACTTGAATAAGAACACTAGACTAAGCTTTGCCCATCCCATCCAATGTTAGCGTCTGTGACAGCAGGGAGGAGCAGAAACAGACCAAACAGGACAACAGCTCACAACCTCCATAGAAACTAATAGATAAACAGCAGCTGAACTGGATCTGTTTCACAGATTATCTGTCATGTTTTTACATAAATTAATAATTATGTTAATTTCATTCAACAATCATGTAAAACAGCAGATTTATACCAGAAAAATATATAATTTTTAAATTACAATGATCTAATCCAGATGTGAAGATTAGACTTTAGCTAGTTGAAAAATGATGACTTCAGCTGGTAATAATATATATTTATTATTTCTTCTTACTGTCATAAAAATATGAATAATAAATATTTACCAGTCACTTAGAAAATGTTCTCTGTATACCTTATGGGATGAAACTTGTCTGTGTATTAGCTAGTTCTCAACAGGTCAGGTTCTTCTAACAGGAACCTAAAAATACTTACATTTATAATATTATTTTACACTCTGTAGGTCTAAATATTAATAAGAACATATCAGCTGTAATATTTAATAGTTTGTTAAATTGTAGCATGATTCAACAGAGCTTAACTCTGTATATACGCTCCACAAGCTAATATCTGCTAACCAGTTCAATAAATAACAGTGATTACATGGACTTTATAAGATTATTTTAATTTTAAACTGTTACATTATGTAGCTTTAGTTCTGGTCAGATCACCAGTGGTGGGCACAGTTCCCCTAAAGCACTAAAGCACTAATAGGAGAACTAATTTCCTGATTAGTGCTTTAGGGG